GTTTCTTGAGCGGAACGAATCACTTGACCAGCAATAGGAACAGTCGGCGAGCAGGAAGGATGTGTTCCCTATTGCTGCTTCTTGTGTTCTTGATTTTTTCTTTTCCGCAAATCTTCTTGATATTATTATGTGACTCACTTTGTTCGACGGAAAATGAGAGCAATGCTTTGATGCCTAAAAATTTCTCGTATAATTTTTTTGATTCTTATACGAAATTTTTTTTATCAAGTTAGAAAAGATCTTTATGACTTCAGAAAATCATCGAGTTTCACTCTGAAGTTTGGCGGAGGTTTTCTAAAAGCATGATTGCGATGAGAGATGCTGTATAGTCCTCGAGATTATTTCCCATATTAGTTCTTAGCGTTTAGACAAATCTTAGATTGTCGTTTGCTTTTGGGATGATTTTGACGAGGCATCGCATCCGAATATTTTTCCGCCTATTTTTGCGAGAGTTTGCTCTATAGAAAGCGTTTTCTTGATGCGAGGAAAAATGTGTTTTTTTAATATGGGAGTATATGAGTAAAGTATATGCCCCTGCTCCCTCCTTTTTTTGTGTTAAAACTAAAGAAAAACAGATGAATTTCTTTCGAAGGATTGGGATGATCGACAATCTGGGTCGATTAAAGACCATGGTCGATTGATGATGACTTGGAGTATGTGTTTTACGAAAATTTCTAGGAACGAGTCGGTTTTAAGACGACGTCTGTGTCTCTCGTTTCTTCTTTCTTTAGGAAATGAGATGAGTATACTCCAATTTGTGGCGATCGTTTCTCGGTTGTACGAGAGATTGGATCAGTTTGCGAGTTATGCCTGAACAGTTAGAGAACAATAGATCGAGATAGACAAAAATTGCCTATGACTTAGCATGCTAGACCATCCCCCTAAATTCTAAGTTCCCTAGGTTTTATGGCAGGTTGCAAGACGTTTTATTCCTTGCCTACGAGAAGTTAGAAATCTACTAAAATTTTCAACTCAGACATACCTTAGTTTCATCAATGATTTGGGACTGCCTCTTCTTCGTTCTTCGTCTTTTGATTTATTTTCATATGAATCGGTCTTCGACGAAATACCAACAAGAATATCGGAGTGAGGAAGGGATTTCAACATCGGAGTTTATGTTCTTGTTTCTTCATACTGCTGGTTTTACGTAACTGACTATGTGTGCTTCGTATATTGTTGAAATATCAATCACACTTTTATGATTAGATGTTTTTTATTTAACGTGGCAGGATTTTATAAAACTGGATTGCGTTTAGAGAGTTCAAATCTCTCGTATAGTTTAGGTAACTTTGGTGTTGAGTCAACCGTTGTTGTTTTAGACGATCGATTTGAACTTATACGAGTCAAGTTTTTGCATTTTTTATCGTAAAGTTCTAACATTTAATCCAATTGGGACGAAAAAAAAGCGTTTCGATTGAGATTCGAGATAGAAACGTTTTAAACCGTCGAGCTTTTCCAACTCGCCCAGTGGCGAGTCGGTGAGTGCAGTCCCGATTCGTCGAGCCAACTTGTTTTTGTCGTAAAATCTCAACGGAAACTCCGATTGAGACGAAACGAAAAGAAGTGGGATTATTTTTTGGAGTACAATCAGGCTCATCATGGTTGTGAGTTGGATGGTGCGGACCTTCGGGGCAAAGTCAGTACCTCGAAGGCGAGGATAAAGGCCGACCAGATCGCCAAGACGGCGAGCTGGTTTATCACGACCAGCTCGCCAAGACGGTGAGCTCGACCATCTCGTCAACAGGCGAGCTGGATGGTAAGGACCCTCGGGAAAATTCAATGCCTCGAGGGCGAGGAGAAAGGCCGACCAGTTCTCCGAGGTGGCGAGCTTGGTTGCTTGGTAAACTCACCGTCTTTGCGAGCCGGATAGTATCGTCCAACTCTGCGAGTAGCCTAGGGTTTTTTCCTTTAGTAACCTAGGGTTTATTCCGAGAGTAACCTAGGGTTTTTCCGCGAGTAACCTAGGGTTTATTCTGCGAGTAACCTATGGTTTTTCCGTGAGTAACCTAGGGTTTATTCTGCGAGTAACCTAGGGTTTATTCCGCGGTTTCTGGGAGAGCAAGTTTTATTTCTCCGCAAAGTTCTTAGAAAACGTCTTTTGGTCAACCCATACGTAATGAGATTTTTCCAACTCGGAAAAAAGAGAAACATTACGGGCTTTTGATGAATTTTTATCGTTGCCCTTAGTGATCAGAGAGAGAAATCGCGAGCTTGTTTTGTTGGTCCTCGCGTGGCGAAAAGTCGCGATTAGGTTTTCGATTTTGTTAAGTACTACAGCGTTTGCGTGATTGTTGGCTATAGGAGTAGTCAATGCTGGAGTTGTTTTACCAGCGTTTTTGCGAGCTGTGACTTTGTCTTTCATATATCCAGACATCTATTTGATCAAGCGTTTTGCGGCTATGAGTTAGAGTAGTCCGACCCCCCCCCCTCCCTTCTTCTAGCGCCAAACTTTGGGAACCAAAATTTGCACTGTCGATTTCCGTAAAATAAAGAAACTTAGGAAAACCCTAAATTTCCAGAGGACCCGGATCTCTGCGAGAGCCAACGGACAAGTAACCAAATAGATGCGGAAAATATGAAAAACATGATAAGACGAATTTATAAAGAAAATAGATCTTATTTTGAATTCGCGTAAGAGCGTTATGATCATTACAAGAGATTATAAAGAATTTGGCCAAAGGGGCAGTCAGCAAATTACCTAGCAACATAAAACCCTAAACCTAGTTGAGTCGCAGCTTGATAACAAAAGACGAAAAAAAGATAAGAAAAAAGGTTTTGATTGATCTGGGACTGAACCTTATGAAAGGTTGTCTATGTACCCCTTTCGAGGACCAACCCGAATGTAGTTCAATTGATAGAGCTGGACAAGAGATCAAACTTCCTGGGCGATTTCATCTAGTAATTGAGTGCCAGTCATAGGAACCAAACTTGTCGAGACTAAAACCTAAGTTTCTTAGTGCAGAGAGTTCTAAGTCTAAAAGAGTTGTAAAAGTTCTGAGATGGGAGCTCTGAAAATCGTCCCTTGCTCTTGTCCTCGACCTTCTGCTTGTATACTCCTTCTCTAGGCGGTTGCTCTTTCCTTTTCCGTCCCAATTTGCGATTATCGAAAATCTTCCATTTGTCTCGATCTTTCCATTTTTCCTCGGATAACTTCTATTTTTCCTTCAATCTTGACATTTTCCCACTCCTGCGAATAATGAGTAAACCATCATCATATCTTTGGGCTTGATCTTGTCTAAAGTTGTGAGTTGGCCTTTATCGCGTTTTAGGACTTTCTGATCCGTTTTGCGATTTAGCCGTCTTACGACTTTAGACGAGATCGTTCCACGATAAGATGACGTTATTATAAAACATCTCGATTTAATCGTATAGTTTGGCAATATCGGTGTTTTTTTAACCATTGTCATTTTATACGATTTACTCGAGGTTTTACGAGAAAACAAGTCTTTAGCAGTTTTTTTATAAAATATCTCGAGTTAATTGTATAGTTTGGAAATGTTCGATGTTTTGTTTAACTGTTGTCGTTTTATACGATTTACTCGAGTTTTATGAGAAAACAAGGCTTTAGTGGTTTTTATAAAATATCTCGAGTTAATCGTATAGTTTGGCAATGTTCAGTGTTTTGATTAACCGTTGCCGTTTTATACGATTTACTCGAGGTTTTACGAGAAAACAAGTCTTTCGTGACTTTTTATAAAATATCTCGAGTTAATCTTATAGTTTGGCAATGTTCGGTGTTTTGTTTAACCGTTGCCGTTCTATACGATTTACTTGAGGTTTTTACGAGGAAACAAGCTTTTTACAGTTTTTATCATAAAACTCCAACGGTAAGACAGATCGAGACGAAACGAGAGATGTTCCGATCACGGTTCAGAGTATGATCAAGTCGAGGGGCTTGGATGGTTTGGTTCAGCTCGTCAACAAGCGAACTGGTCAGTAATGGCCAGCTCGCTTGTTGGTGAGCTGGACTGGTTGGTTTAGCTCGCCAACAGGCGAGCTGGTCAGGAATGGCCAGCTCGCCTGTTGGCGAGCTGGACTGGACGGTTCAACTCGCCAACAGGCGAGCTGGTCAGGGATGGCCAGCTCGCCTGTTGGCGAGCTGGACTGGTTGGTTTAGCTTGCCAACAGTCGAACTGGTCAGGAATGGTCAGCTCGCCTGTTGGCTAGCTGGACTGGACGGTTCAACTCGCCAACTGGCGAGCTGGACTGGTTGGTTCAGCTCGCCAACTGGCGAGCTGGACTGGTTGGTTCAGCTCGCCAACTGGCGAGCTGGACTGGTTGGTTCAGCTCGCCAACAGGCGAGCTGGTCAAGCACGGCCAACTCACTTGTTGGAGAGCTGGTAGGTTGTTCGGTTTCGATCGTTTCTCATTTTCTCGACCCGAGATCCTCTCAGAGAATATAAGGAGAAATAATCGTAGATGTTGATCTCGAGATTATCGTTTTCGACATTAATAACAGCTTTACTGTCTCGGGGAGTTTGGACGTTCCGGCCGTGTTTTGTTAATTTGGCCAATTGGACAATTGCAGATTGTTTTATTTGATTTTCCGATGATTTCCAAGATGATGATTGTTAAGTTTACGGAATTCCTTTGTTCGGAAAGTCCTTAGCTTTCTTATCTAAACTTTTTCGTATCTTTAAAACCTACTCTTAACTTTGCGGAAAGTTTTGGTCTTTGATTCCGTTTTGACCGATTTTGACCTCATCAGTGTTTTTTTAACTATTTCATACTTTGATACGAGTTTCCTGTAATTTCGTATCTTTGTAGAAAGTCTATAATTACTTGTATGCTTTTTCTGGGACTTTTAACCATTGATTCCGTTGTGATCGATTTTGACCTCAATAGTTAGCCTAAAGTAAATTAAGGAGATTTTTTTAAATAATCATATTGAGGTGCTTAGCAAAGGTATTTATGCATTTTCCAATAGAAACTACCACACACACAGTGTTTTAATAGAATGAAGACAATATAGTAGACAAGACTTTTTACTAAATATTTTAATGTTTGGCATAAACCAGTAACACTAATATTAATCAAAAACTTAAGATCTCATTACAAGTTGCCACGAGACATAAATTCAATAACAATTGTTACATTCTTGTCTTTGCAGGCTTAAAAGGTTGCTTTGATTTTTTTAATGTATAAATGATATGACATCTTATGTGAATTTGAAGAATAATCCAAATTAGTTATTCCTCTGATGATGTTTTGTTTACGGCACTAGATTCTGGTACAACCCACCGGTTTAAACGTCTCAACGAAGTATACACCTAAAAAGTTTTGCAACAAATATTATAAGCTCCAAAAACAGAACTTGCTAGAGCTTTAGCAAAATGGTTATGTTGTTAAGAAAAAAAACTTTTAAAATTTATATACTATTTCATTTCTAACCTGTTGATCCCAATCTGTTCTCAGAGTCATGATGGTAAGCACGCAAGTTTGAACAAATACTCCAAAGAGCATTCCGATCCAGACACCCTACAATTCAGAGAATATAATTTATAGAGATAATTTATATGGTATTTTTAAGAGAATCAATGAAAAAGTAGAAAACAAAAAAAAAAACTTACTTTGACTTGCAAACCGACTACGTAGCCCAGGATAACACCAGTAGGAATTCCGACAAGGTAATAGCAAGCAAGGTTAACGTAAGTAACATATCCTTGCCATCCTGCTCCAACAGCAACTCCTGTTCCGGTTTAACACGGTTCAAACACATTATAATTCAAGGATCCGCTTCATGTTACTAACCATCATATGTCAAATAGCAAAAAGAAAAAAGCCAAAAACACAGACCTGAGAGAACAGGTTGAACACTGTTCATGAGGATGGAAAATGCTAAAAGTGGAGAAAGGTCGGCAACTTCTGCTGCGACAGCTTCACTTGTCGTGAAAATGTAGGACACTTTTCCTCTTAGAAACAAGAAAACGAAGAACAGAACTATTCCTATAAAGAGTGACGTGAAAACGGCTGTCAATGTTGCAAACTTGGCTCCTTTCGAGTTTCCACTACCGAGCTCGTTAGACACTCTTACACTGTTTTTATACATTATTGCAGATAAGAGAATAAGATGACGATATCAATACAGCAACAATGATGTTAAGTTTGTAAGTATCATGTATACTCACCTTGCTGCTGCCAAAAAACCAAGTGCTATCATCATCTCCATTCCATTTATGTTGAGGCTACAAAAATTGGTAGAAAAGAGTCGATTTATAAATATTTTCTGTATATTACTATTCTAGGATCATGTTTAATCTAAGAATCAAGTATGTGAAATATGTTTGAAAAGATATTAGCTATGGAAAGGTTGAAAGAAGAGAGAACGAAGCTTCATTAATTCTTGCTAATATACCAGATTGCAAGTGCGTCAAGAGCCACCTCTGCGTTTTTTAAATTTCCAGTGAGTAGTACCAAGATCGAGTTATACCATAACTCCAAGCTGTCCAAAATAATCAAACAGTATTAACCAACATTATAATCTTATATGCACAAATGTAACCCTAGTTTAGAGGTACGACTCGATTTGCCTTTATACGTTATTAATCTTTGACAACGTCATTTGTCAGAAAAGAGCTTGTGGTTTGACTTTACTTCTACTATTTAGAACTTTCGTCACACAGCTATAAAGCTATTTTATATGAACTTTCTTTTGTAACTAATTCAAGTTTCACCCCACAAAACTAATATGCATTGACCAAGTAAATGTGTCAGATGGAATCAAGTCTCTTGTTTTAACCATCAAAACAGGTTCTAGCGCAAACTCGAATGTGTCAAGTGAAATTATCACACTAATAAGATTTTTTAATTTTTTTATACACAAATATTTGGTTGCTGTGACATGTCTTATATATTGTACAATATAAAATAGTTAGTGCAAGCTTACCATAGCATTCCTCCGGAAGACATGGATAGTTTGAAGACGGGCCATAAATCTTTGAAAGCCATCATAGAGAATCCTCTCCACGTGTCCTTACACCCACCACAAGTGACGAACAAGAGCTGCGCAATGTTAGGCAACCAGAACGCAACGAGCGTCGAGGTCATAGCACCGGTGATTCCAAAATCAAAATGAACCACTAGGAGCCACGACAAGAACATGTGGACGGCTAACGAGACTGCAGCCACATAAGCAATGATTTTGTTTTTGCTCTGAGCTTGGAGAAACATTTGGCACGTGAATGATGGTATGAATGAGAAGTTGATGCCTATGACCCATAAGGCTATGATCCGAGCCACATGGACAATGCGTTCCTCTTGACCCAAGGCTAAGAGGATAGGGCCCGAGAAGATATAAACGGGGGTGAGGCAAATGGTACAACCTGTGAGGACGATCCATGACCTTTGGAGATAGATTCCGAGCATATGGTTTTGTTTTGCTCCGTAAGCTTGACCACATAGCGTTTCTAGTGCACTGGCCATGCCTAACTGCATTACAATTCGTAGGTTAAACACAATGATTATTGTAAGGTGGGTTATATAAAACACTTAAAAAGATAAGTTGAGACATCCGCATAGTTACATGATGTGTTACCCGAAATAATATATTCTGAAAAAAATACTACAAAACCATAGAAACAGGACTTAATTTTATTGAAGATGTTGGTGCATATTCACCTTTAGTTTCTTGTTAATTATATTGTAACGGTCAAATTTCTTCTGTGTTAGATTTTACATGAAAGTCAATAAAAGTATTCTCCAAGTACAAAATCCAAACACAAGGATGACTAACAAAAGGTTTTAGCGCAAAGCAAGATCGACGAGAAAAGATCGACCAAAATTCAAACTGTAAAGCAGGCAGCCCATGTCACAACATATGACTTTTAGGCCGATCGGTGACAAGACATTAGATTTCCACCTTATAAGTGGCGTCCGAATTGAACTGCCACTGAATGTTGTCGAACTTGTCGACAGTACGTTTTCTACACCTTGATTTTGAAGTGATACGTTTATGTACGAGCCGAGCCTATTTATTATTATCTTAATTAGAGTAACCAATTACCAAAGCAAATGACTAAAGAAATCGTCTCCATAAATTATATATATATATATATATTATTTAGTTTTTATTGTTTTAACACATGATTTTAAACTCCAAGATTGTAAGAAACACTTTCTTATTAGCTTAAATAATCACACAAAACTTAAACTCTTGCAAATCAATCTCAATCTCTAAATTCATGACTTACGTCATAAGTTGGCATCCCCTGAAAAATAAGATATATCTAAATAAAACTTAATTTATCTACATAACTCATAAATAAGACATTACCTATTTCAAATATATTTAGGTTAGCTTGCAAACCATTCTAACTTCAAGTTTACTTTCAACAATTTTTATTTAAAAAAAGTTATCCAAAATATTAAAGCAAAAATAAATACATGATTAATCATTGGCCATTATCTTTCTTGATTAAACATCAAAGATAAAATAATGTATCTTTATAAAATCTAAAATAAAAGATATCATAATATAATATACATGTTTTAAGTCAAAACGATTTATAAACTAAACAAAAAATATATATAATACAAAATGTTTATATATTTGCCCAAACATAATTTTTATTTTATCTATCAGCTGTTAGGGATTTATCTTTTCATTAATGTTGTAATATGTGTGATCCTATAAAAGAATTTTGATGATTAAGAACTAGTATCTTTGCTAAAAATTCATGTTGCTTTCCACATGAATATTCTCAAAATTTTAGAAATTTTAGCACTAATATCCACTAAATAGTATAATTTTTCAAAAATTTATTTTCAATTCAAAAATTGTCAATAAAAACTAGGGAAAATATTCTAAAATAGTACTCCCCTGTTTCATTATAAATGTCATTTTAGAATTGTACACACGGATTAAGAAAACAATTAATTTTGACTATTTTCTATATAAAACACAATTACCTATCTAACCACATTTTTATTAGTGTATATCTTATAGTTAAAATAATTATGGTAGATAATTATCTATAACCTTTGTGCTTATCTTTAGATTTGATCTTATCAAGATCTTGTACAAATATATAAGCATGTTTGCTATCAATGAAACATATATTTGAAACCAATCTTATATGGTATAAGAGCATACGATTTATCTCTAAATTTGTTTTCTCTTTATACATATGGCAAATTCAAACACTTCTTCAGACGAATTGGCTCTTGTTTTCAACCCATCTGACATGAAATCATCGATCGTCTCTCTCAACATGAACGGAATCACTAAACGCATTTCAACAAACTTCATAACCTGGAGATTCCAGGTCAAAGCTTTACTTGACGCACACAGACTTCATGTGTTCATCGATGACATTGATCAAACGCCAGCGAAGACAGTCACTGACACAAATGGAGCCACAACACCAAATCCAGCACTTGCAGTATGGAAACGACAAGATCGTCTACTTTATAGTTCCATCCTTGGAACTCTCACTCTCAACATCCAACCGGTGGTTGCTAGAGTAACAACAACATGTGAGATTTGGACTCTCTTTCATAACACCTATGGCAAGCCATCAAGAGCACATGTCAAACAACTCAAACAAAGTCTTAAAAAGAGCAACAAGGGAACGCAATCAGTCACTGATGACTTGCATACGGTCTTAGGCAAAGCTGATCAACTACCCTTACTAAGTGCGGCTCTTGAACACGAAGACTTGCTTGACTACATCACTGAAGGTCTTCTTGACGATTACAAAGGAATCATTGATATGGTGAATGGTCGTGACATTCCTATACCACTAGAAGAACTTCATGAGAAACTTCTCATCTGAGAAAACTCACTTGCAACAACAAAGGACATCACCAACGCATCTGCACCAATAACAGCAAACCCAGCTCAAAATCGTCAGTTCCAGCAACATCAATGACCTCAAAACCGTGGCTCAGCACCAACTTGTGTAGGATATCAAGGTCGAGGTCGTGGCTACCTCGGCAAGTGTCAAATTTGTGGTGTTCAGGAACACAGTGCAAGACGTTGTCCACAGTACTCGTCGGCTCCCTCAATGCAATATCGTCTGGGAGCTCCTCAAATGCAAACACCACACTGTAATGCTCCTCCTCCATCTATGCAACAACCTCAGTTGACTCCTCAAGCTCACTACACCACTGCAAGTACTTCAGACATGTCAGTGTCGCCATGGTTACTTGACAGTGGAGCCTCGCACCACATAGCATCAGACCTCAGCAACCTATCCCTACATGCACCTTATCAAGGAAGTTATGATGTTATGATAGGCAATGGCACTGGACTTCCGATCACACACACTGGTTCAGATAAACTCTCTTCATTATCTAGACCTTTAGTTTTAAATACTATGTTTTGTGTTCCAACGATGAAGAAGAACCTTATATCTGTGAACAAGTTTTGCAAAACTATCAATGTCATGGTTCAAATGTGTCTTTCTGACTATCAGGTGAAGGATCTCAGAATGGGGGAAACAATCCTAAACTGACAAGCCAGTAAAGGAATTTATGAATGGCTGACTAGAACTTCTTCCTCGTTTAATAATGTTTTAGCTTTCTCTTCTTTTAAAACCTCAAAATCGGGTTGGCACTCTCGTTTAGGTCACCCAAATTCTCAAACTCTTAATCATATGCTTTCTAGTTTTCATTTACCAGTTTCTTCTTTGTCATCAGCACCTTGCAACTCTTGTTTCAGTAATAAAACGCACAAACTTCCTTTCTCAACCACCACTTTATATTCTTCTCGACCACTTGACATAATATTTTTCTGATGTGTGGAGTTCGTCTGTTCATTCGATTGAAGGAACAAGTTCTATGTACTGTTTGTTGATCACTTTACAAGATATACATGGATGTTTCTAATGAAAGCAAAATCGTAGGTAGCTCAGATCTCTCATGCATTAAAATGATTGGTGGAGAACAGATTCAGTACACGCATCACCACTCTGTATTCAGACAATGGGGTGAGTTCGTTGGCCTACGTTCTTACCTTGCTACTCATGGCATTGCACACCACACAACTTTTGCCACAGACTCCTAATCACGACGAAGTGGTGGAACGCAAGCATAGACACATAGTGGAGACTGGTCTGACATTTTTACAACATGCAGGCATACCTCACACTTACTGGAGTAACTCTTTTGCTGCTGCGGTGTATCTTATCAGCTGTATGATAACCCCTGTTTTGCCAAATTCATTACCATTTCAGGTATTATTTCAGACACCACCAAACTACAGCAAGCTACGATCATTTGGATTTTTATGCTATCCATGGATAAGACCTTCTGGTAACAACAAGTTCACTCCATGCTCAGTTCCCTATGTTTTCTTGGGTTATTTTCTCATTCAAAGTGCGTTTATCTGTCTTGATATTCCTAATTCTAGGGTCTATATATCTAGACATGTCATTTTCCATGAAAAAGTTTATCCCTTTTCAGCTCTCTCCAAAACTTCATCTGGTTCAAATGATGATGTTGTCACTGAATCACTCTCTCATATAGCTTCTCGTGTTCCTGTTTTCAGGCAGCCAATTGCAGGTTCCTTGACGCCTACATCAGCAGAGTTGCCCCTGGTCTCCGATACTTCACCGCCTACAACAACAACAACTTCCTCAACATCAACATCAACTATCAACAATGGTAACACCACTCAGCCTCAATCAACAACCACACAGCTCAACAATACACACGCCATGACACCACAGTCAAAGAACAATATCAGCAAACCAAACAAGAAGTACGGTCTTGCAGCTATTCTTGTAGAGCTTGGACTGGTCAATCTTGCGCAGGCACTCAAAGAAAAAAGATGGAGACTCTCAATGTATGAATACAACGCCATGATCCGTAACAGAACCTTTGATCTTCTTCCTCGCTCACTAGCCACCAACATCGTCGGATGTTGCTGGAGCTATCGCATAAAGTACAATCCAAATGAGATTGTGAAAAGTTTCAAGTCACGGCTGGTGGCCAAAGGCTTTTATCAACGACAAGACATAGTTTATCAGACACCTTCAGTCCAGTTATCAAGCATGCATTCATTCGACTTGTACTTTGCATTGATATTGCTCAAGATTGGCCTCTAAAACAGCTAGATGTCAACAATGCCTTTCTCTAAGGTGATCTACATGAGGAAGACTACATGGCTCAACCACCTGGCATCATAGACAAAGACAAACCTGATCACTTCTGTAGACTACGAAAGGAAATATACGGGTTCAAGCAGGCCCCTAGAGCCTGGTATAATGCACTAAGAGAAGCCCTCATCAGTGTTGGCTTTGTCAACTCATTAGCAGATGCGTCACTCTTTCTGTTCAGTTCTCACCGTCTGCTAATCTGTGTCTTGATATATGTTGACGACATCATTGTTACATGAAACAATTTGTCTGAAATCACAAGCTTCATCAAGTATATCTCCTCTCGCTTCTTGCTAAAGGATATTGGCAATCTCTCTTATTTCCTTGGAGTGAAGGCTCACAGCACCAGCACTGGACTTTACCTTACTCAGACTAAATATATTACTGACATACTTATCAAGACAAAGATGACCAATGCAAACCAGTTGCAACACCTATGTGTGTGACACAGCGTCTGACACAGAAAGAAAGTGTTTCACTAGACGATCCTCTCACCTTTAGAGCAATCGTAGGAATATACAATATCTCTGTCTCACACGCCATGACATAGCATTTGCGGTTAACAGACTATCACAATTCATGCATTGTCCTACGACATTACATCCTGAAGCTGCCAAACTAGTGCTCCGATATCTTGCAGGCACTGCCACGAAGGTTCTCTTCTTCACACGCTAGTCCTCTCTCATTCTTCATGCTTATTCAGATGCAGACTGGACATGAGATCAAGATGACTACACCTCTACAGGTGCCTACATTCTCTATCTGGGAAACAACCTATCTCTTGGAATTCAAAGAAGATAAATGGTGTTACTCACTCCAGCACAGAGGCTGAGTATCACAGCTTAACATCAACAGCAGCAGAAGTTATATGGATTATACATTTACTCAAGGAGCTTCGGGTCCCTATCACTACAACACCTACACTGGTCTGTGATAACATAGGAGCCACATACTTGGCTGCTAACCTTGTCTTTCACTCCAGAATGAAACACCTTTTGGACTACCATTTCGTTTGAGAACTTTTGCAGCGAAAAATGTCTCAGAATGTCTCATGTGAGCTCTAAAGATTAACTTGATGATGCGTTAACAAAACCACTTCCGCGAAGTAGCTTTCATGACTTGTTTATCAAGATAGGTCTATCTCTAATAAGTTCATCTTTAAGAACTGTATTAGCGTATATCCTGTAGTTAAGATAATTACAATAAATAATTATCTATAACTTTTGTGCTATCTTTAGATTTGATATTATCAAAATTTTGTACATCTTGTATATATAAGCACATTAGCTATCAATGAAATATATACTTGAAACCAATCTTATAATTTTAATCAATAAAAAAATAATTTACATAATAAAATTAATAAATTTTGTATTAAAATCTGAAAATGATATTTATTTTGTAACGAAACATTTTTTTCTACGACTACATGGAGGGAGTATAATATACTACAATTTTCAAAGAAAAATTAATCTTTTTAGAAACAGCATACGACAAACTGGGTATGTCATTATGGATACAGAGAATTTTAGTTATCTAAAAATTGTCCGTCAGAGAGGAAATAATTATCAGTAGTTTACAAAAATATTACTAAAACACATTTTACTTTATTAGTGAAAAGTGAAAACTATTAGTAGTCATTGCCACCAGTGGGTGATAATTTGCAGTGGTCAAAGACTTTTATTTCTAATAGTCTTCTCATATGTTAATCCATAATAATTAGTTTATAAAAATACTACTATAATATACCTTCACAAATAGTAATAATACACGCAACTTCTTAACATTCATCTATTTATGTGGAGGAGAGACTAACTTGCCGACATCACTGCTTACCCCTTGTGGATCTAAATGGTTTTCAAGTAAGAAACAATAAAATATAACAAAAAATTCAAACCTTTTTTTGTCCTCAATAGCAATAAACATTTTTTCTTTTTCTGTGGATGGATTTTCATAACTGATATCAATTTACTAAAATAGTACCAAAGGACGACAATAACCAAAAACAAAAATAGTACCACATTGCCTAGACTAGTGGAGAAAGTGCTTTAATATTAGAACTACTCTTAAAACATAAATGATTATAAATCGTGGATGATGCTTTTATTTTCTTAGTGATTAGTATTACGAATAACTGAGAAATCTATGTATTAATCAAAATCGAATTTATTAAAATCGGAGTACAAAATTAAATTACCCATTAGCTATGCAAGTTATTTACACTCATGCCATTGAAGTATTAACTGAACTTATATTTTTTTTTTGTCTTTGCTAAAATTAATAAAATAACAATGACTCTTAATTTTATGCATCCTATATTCTTTTCTAAAATTAGTAAAACATTTCCTAAACGAAATTTATATACTGCACATCCAAATTTTTTTGAAGAACAACATATCAATACTACTAATATTAATGCACATCAATAATATTCATGAACTATTTATGTAACAAATAAGTTACATTTGTCTCTATGCTCATTTCCCCCACAATTTTTTCTTTTTTTTTCTTTTATCCTGTTTTATTTACAATTTTTATTTTCACCAATATAAATATATTACATACACCACTATAACTGTTTATCAAATTTAGTGAAAAGTTTCATTTATGTGTAGTTTTATTTGTACTTTTTAAGAGTTATTGTTAAGTGTTTGCATATTTTTTGATTAACATTATTTCTATTCTGAACAACTTTTTTTTTTGACATACACAATCTTTTAAAATATTTTTTACTATTAAAAATTGAATCATTTGTTAAAAAATCATGTTCGTTTTGTCCTTTTCATAGAAAGAAAAATAAGTATTTTAATAATTTAGTTTATCTGTAAATAAAATTCTTTAACTGATTTAGTGTACCGTAGATTTAGCATATACAATACATATATTTATAATTTTTGTTTTTTATGTTCTATGTAACCATAAATACAATATTTCAGTCAAAACATGATAAAAATATATGATAAAAATCATGATTAAAATAATAATTTTCATACTTTTATGCTCTTACAAATTTATAAACATGCACATATCAAAAACTATAATCAAAATATAAATATAAAGTTATATTCATTTAAATTGTAAACTATAAATAATCAATTAATATAATATATAAATTAATAAAAATAAACAGTTATTTGGATGTTCGGATCAAGTTCTATTTAACTAATTATATTAATTGGTAGTCAAAGTCTTACCAAAATACCATTACTGAAACGGAGGAGAACGGTGAAGGTGATTGAGTAAGCGGCTAACTCGATAGGTCCAAGATGGCCGATGAAAGCTTGACTTATCATCGAAACTCCGAACGTAGAGAACCTCGTGAAGATAGCCGGCGCCGCTACTACCCAAAGCTTCTTTGTTTCAATCCAAACCTTCTCCTTCAACCCCAACTCATCCTCTTCCGCACCGTTCTCAGCACTCTTATTCAACAAAGTGACCGTGAGCTCCTCTCCTCCTCTGGCCATCGTGATGTTCTGTTATTTCAAATGAATGAGCCAGAGGCTAGGAGGGGATGATTGGAACGGAGAGAGACGGGATAGAATTCGTTTGATGGACAGACTACGTTAGTTTATGACACAATGTGTTCTTTTTATAGTGTTTTTTTTTGTTTCTTTTTAATGGTTTTTATTGGGAACGAAAAGCCGCCTACGCCTCTTGCAGCAAGTCGCATTTAGAAGACAAAAAAATACTCCGACAAATAGTATAATAGGTGGTATTATTGAAGATCACATACGATCGTCCATTTACCATTTGAAAAAAAAAAAAAAAACCATATTTTTATCGATAACTACATTAGATATCTTGTACGCTGCGTACCCCGTGTTCGAATTTAATAGAGGGTTAGTAACCCCCAAAATAAATGGAAAAATCTGCTGCTAAAAGAAAAAAGGATGGCCAAATCACGACTCACGAGCACATCAAACTTACGACCAGTACTTGCGACAATGTTGACTACTTTGTTTTATGTCACTGAAAAGATCTTTTGGAGCTTTGTATCAAAATACTTGTTTTAAATTTAAAATTTATTAGATCTTGGTATCAATTTAATTTGAATAATTTATGAATTAGAATCCGGATAGATTTGTAAAAAAATATTAGTTGTACGGATTTGATATAGTAAAACTATCTAAAATTGTCAACTTGGAGCATACAAACAATTTTATGATTTTGTGCGATATTAGGATAACATATGATAAACTATTGGTGGGTTTTCATAGAATAATTAAATTGGGAAACAAAACAAAATGTCCAGTAAAAAACTGTTAAGCAAAAAAGAGTATTATAAAATTGCCACAAGTATGAAAAATGAACGTTACCATATTGCAGAATAGATATTAAGATATTCAAAATAAAGTATTTAACATATTAAACTAGTTACACATTGGTGATTTGACATTTAGCAATACTTGATGCATCTTTTTCCAGTGAGAGATATTACTAACTTACTATGACGGCAATCACGACACATTACTATGATGTATAAATCCTTAACATGAAGGAACATAACAAACAAATACTCCATCTATTTCAAATTAAATATCGTTTTAAAATAAAATTTTTCTTTTAAAATAAGTGTCATTTTATAATTTCAATAAAAAATCTATTGATTTTAAATATTATTCTATTTTTTCATTGGTTGAAATGCGGTTATGTGCATAGGTAAATGTGTTTTTATTTTGAAAACGTACAAAATTAATTTTTTTTTTGTAATCAATATGCAAAAACCTAAAACGACAACTAAAATTAAACGGAGGTGTATTAACTTTTTTTTTTTTGGCATTGAACAAAACTTTCATTAAGATCAAACTGGTTCGTTGAGACTAGCTTCAGGAGCAGGCCAAAAGTGAACCAGAGTGTTTACAACCGAGAAACATTGCGCACGTGATAGTCCTCCTTTAGCCAAGGAGTCAGCACGAAAATTATCATCGCGCGGTTAAAACGATAGAACAACATTACGAAAATTGGATCGCCAGAGTTTGATTTCATCCAGTTCTGCAGCCAACGCCGGCCACCGCTCTTCCTTGTTAGCCAGATTCACTAGTTGTTGAAAACCTGAAGCGAAGCTGATATCATCAAATCCTCTTTCTCATGCTTCTTTCATTACCCATATAATGGCTTCCACTTCAGCTTGTATTGGAGACTGAGCTCTGCGTTCGCATTTGTGTCCTTGTAAAGATCACCTCATTTGCCTCCAGAAGAAGAAAGCCCGCCCCCATCCATTCATCGTTTGCTGCCCACGAGCCATCTACTTGGCACTTGTAATGGTGTTCGCTTACAACCTGCGGAATGGCTTCCTGTGGGAGTTCCTCGCTTTCTTCCACCACTTCTCCTATTTGCGCCATCTTCCATGTTTCAGCTTTTTGGCGGGCCAGTTGTAGAGTGTCTATCGGTGATATGTCCTTCGCATTAAAGCATTTCTCATTCCTGGCTTTCCACACATACCATATCAGCCATGGGAATATCGAGACATGATCTGTCTTTGGTTTTCTGTCGCCGCTTGTTGCAGTAAGTACTCAAAGTTTGCAATTAGAGAATTACACGGGAATATCCCCGGAGGTGATGGGATCGGTGATAGGATCCAGCATTGAAAAGGTGGTGGAAACTCGAAGAGTATGTGGTTTATGTTCTCAATCTCAGCACCGCATCTTTGATACGAAGTATTGGTACCACAGTGTCTATCAACCAATGTACTCGCAGAGGTCACACAACCCATAAGAGCTTGCCATAGAAAATATTTAATCTTCCTTACTGTTTCCAGTTTCCACACTTGTTTCTTCAGAGGTGATATGCTTTGTTCCACGATTTGATTAAAGCTCCGGTTTCTCCTCTGTTCCACCGCTATATCATACCCTCTCACCGTGTAGTGTCCAGACTTTGTGTGCTTCCAGCAGTATCCATCTTTCTTCCTGATTTACTTATCTTTATGGCCAGGATCCGCAGAATGTCATCAGCATGAATTACTTGCAATATGAAGCTCTCGTTCCAGTCTTTTCTATCAAAATTTATAAGGTTGTGTACTCGCAAGTCTGGATAAAACTCTGCATGTGCATGTTTTGCTGGTCTTGCGACTTCCAAGGGTATCCAAGCATCCTCCAATTCTTTCGTCTCAGCCCCTGTCCTTATTATTCTATATACATTATCTTCAAGAATCTGTTTTTCCGCCATTAAACTTCTCCATCCATATGATGGCGCCGATGCTTAACCCGTACGAAGTGGGTTTGAATGTATATAGTACCGACCTTTTAGAACATGCGCCAGAAAAGAGTCTGGGAACACCAACAACCGCCACACCTGCTTAGCTAATAGGGCAAGGTTAAAATCTCTAATATCACGAAATCCTAGGCCTCCTTTATCTAGAGGGACGCAAATTTGATCCCAAGCAATTCAGTGGATCCCACGATTATTGTCCCTTTTGCTCCACCAGAACCTCGCCACTGTGGCGGAAAGTATTTTGCAGATTTCCTGCGGCACCAGGTAGCATGACATAATGTAGGACGGGGTCGCTTGTGCCACCGATTTGATCTGTACCTCTTTTCCCATGCGAGATAGCAATTTACCGGACTAACTATTAATCTTTCCGTTCAACCTGTCCTAGACGAAAGAGAACACTTGAGTCTTAGAGCCGCATATCTTATCTCGCATACCAAGATACATTCCCATACCCCCTTCTCTCGTAATCCCGAGCGATCATTTCAGCGTCTCTCACTCCCATGTCAGCTATCATCTATATTGGATTCTCCTGAACCATGGCTTCCTGTGTCTCTGGTCGAGTTATGTATTCCTTATCCATTTCGTCTAGCAGATAATCATCATTAAACATATCCTCATCCATTTCGAGATCCACTCTAGCATATTTTTCAGCAATTTTATTCATCTTTTCCTCACTCAAGAGCTATGTTTCATTTACCGGCGTGTGTTTCCCATTTTGTCCTATCTTGACCATTCCTCTCTCCAGTTCCTGAATATATCTTTTCTCAGTGGAAACATGGGCTGCATTTTCTGAAGGTGCGGCTGTGTAGTTCCCTTGTGGTTCGGTGGCATTCTTGTTCTTTTCCAAAATCGCCTGATTCACAAGGACGTACTTCTCTGCTGGCTCATTTATTTTAAGAATCCCTAGCCATACGACCAGACTCTAAGTTAGCTTCCTTATCACCTGAGCTCACCATGATAGCTTTTCCTTTTAACCTCCATCTTCTAGCTTCCTCGGATTTTCGTTCTCTTTCTTGTTCAATTTCTCGTTCATCTGTCATATGGTTATGCGCTTCCTTTATTCTTTATGTTACTCGAACCGGTTGTCATTCCAAATGTGGCTCCACCCTTTACTGGTGCACGTTTTTTCCTGTTGTAAGATCACTCCGATGACTTCGGTATGGCTCTGAGATAGTTATTTGGTAGTCAGGTGATCGATATGATCGCGATGGAGGGTCAGTTCCTCTCCTCACATAGGAAATCTCATGGTCTCGACTCCGGCTTTGTGGGCTGTATCCTTTTACTCTCCAACTTGAGGATCAAGTAGACTCGCTGTATCAACCTTGTGTCTTAAGGCTCTCTGAGATACGTTGAAGACATCTAGGGTATGCTCGTACTTCTTTCTGATATGGGTAATACCTCTCCCGATCTCGGGGATTCTTTTCATCAGAGTTATGGTCAAGCCTATTCCAAACAGTGTTTGCGATCTTATCTCTCTTGCTTGAGATTATATGACGGAGATCTTCATACTCTGCTGTTTGATTATACTCCATTATGGCTCGATCGTTTCTTCTCATGTGGGGATCCACTGGTTTCCGGTCTAAGTCATAGCTATGGGGGTTTTTCGTCTGAGAATGAAACCTCGCGTGTGACTCAAAGCCTTTTGCCGAAGCCGAGAATGCTTCTCTAGCAGCCAATTTCTCCTTCTCCATTTGCTCCAGACAAGCAATTCTGTTCACTTCTCTTTGAGTTGGAGAAAGCTCTGGGCTTGTGCCCCCTTCTTGCGAGATTCTCTTACAAGTGTAGCAATAACGGTGTAGTTCTTCATATTTCAACGCTACTGTGATCATATTCCCGTTAGCATATCCAGATTTCGTTCAAATTGCAGAGGTTCATCTACATCGATCTTGACCATAATCCTACAGTTGTCGACATCGACCTTATCCAATTCTCCAAGAGCAATTCCTATGCTCTGTTGGTGTCAAAATCGGTCACGACGGAATCAATGACTAAAATTTTACGTAAAAATAAAAATATGTTTTATAAGACACGGGAAGTCGTTTTATAAAATTCTAAGGACTTTCCGAACAATGGAAATCCACGGAAAACTTGGAAATCGTCATCTCGGAAGAACGAACGAAACAATCACCGATTACAAGATTGCCCAAGATAAGCGAAAAACCGCATCCACCGTAAACCGCGAGCAGGTTCGACCGAACCAAGTTCAACGTACGGCGAGCCAAACCAGCCAGTTCAGCTAGCCGTACGGCGAGCTGAACCAGCTAGTTCAGTTCGCCGTACGGCGAACTGGTTCGACCAAGACAGCTCGCCGTACGGCGAGCTGAACCAGCCGGTTAAGTTCGCCATACGGCGAGTTGGCCGTCTCACAACAGCTCACCGTACAGCGAGCTGAACCGTTCCCAGTTCAGTTCACCGTACGTCGAGCTGACCGTCCTGAACCCTGATCTCCGCGTTCCCGACATGAAGCATACGTCCTTCGGTTCCATCATGTTCTGAATCATGGTCAAAACGTCTCTTGTTCATCTCGATCCATCCTATCGATAAAGTTTTACGATAAAAACCGCAAAGTCTTGTTTTCTCGAAAGGACTCGAGTAAATCGTATAAAACAGCAACGGTTAAACAAAACATCAAGCGTTGACTGATTATACGATAAACTCGAGATCTTTTATAAAAAAAAGTAAAAAGCGCGTTTTTAGTAAAACCTCTAGTAAATCGTAGAAAATGGCAATGATTAAACGAAACATCGAACATTGCCAAACTATGCAATTAACTCAAGATGCTTATGTAAAAACGACATCGTATCACAAAACGATCTCGTCTAAAATCGCAAAACGGTTTTAAACAAAATCCAGCCCAAAGATACGACGACGGTTTCACGATTTACTTGCAGAAAGAAGATAAATGTCAAATTTGGAGATGAATGTAAAGTTTGAGGATAAATAGAAGATTTCCGCAGGAAAAATGGAGAGATCGAGATAAATGGAAGATTCTTGATAAACTCGAATTTGGGAGAAAATGAAGGATTAAACCGCCTAAGGAGGAGTATTGTTGGGGTCAAAATCGGTACGACGGAATCAACGGCCGAAACTCCCCGCAAAAATATAAAAGGAATCGTTTTATAAAACCCAAAGAATCGTTTTATAAAACTCGAGGATCGTTTTATAAAACTCGAGGATTGTTTTATAAAACTCGAGAATCGTTGTATAAAACCCAAGGATCGTTTTATAAAACTTGAGAATCATTTTATAAAACTCGAGGATCGTTTTATAAAACTCGAGAATCGTTTTATAAAACTCGAAAAATCATTTTATAAAACTCGAGAAACGTTTTATAAAACTCGAAGAATCGTTTTATGAAACTCGAGAAGCCGTTTTATAAAACTCGAAGATCATTTTATTAAACTCGAAGATCGTTTTATAAAACTCGAGAAGTCATTTTATAAAACTCAAAGATCGTTTTATAAAACTCGAGAAGCCGTTTTATAAAACTCGAGAAGCCGTTTTATAAAACTCGAAGATCGTTTTATAAAACTCGAAGATCATTTTATAAAACTCGAGAAGCCGTTTTATAAAACTCGAAGATCGTTTTATAAAACTCGAAGATCATTTTATAAAACTCGAGAAGCCGTTTTATAAAACTCGAAGATCGTTTTATAAAACTCGAAGATCGTTTTATAAAACTCGAAGATCGTTTTATAAAACTCGAAGATCGTTTTATAAAATTCGAGAAGCCGTTTTATAAAACTCGAAGATCGTTTTATAAAACTCGAGGATCGTTTTATAAAACTCGAGAAGCCGTTTTATAAAACTCGAAGATCGTTTTATAAAACTCGAGAATAATTTTATAAAACTCGAGAATCGTTTTATAAAACTCGAGAAATCATTTTACAAAATCGTGAAAAACCGAAACCGCCACAAAACGCGAACTAGTCGCAACTAGTTCACCCACCGGCGAACTAGGAGACCCTTGACTAGTTCGCCCACCGGCGAACTAAGCCAGCTTGGCTTAGTTCGCCGATGGGCGAACTAGTCCCGTCCCGACTAGATCGCGCACCGGCAAACTAAGCCAGCCTGCTTAGTTCGCCGTTGGACGAACTAGAGACTTCCTGGGCGTCCCAAGCCTCGATCTCCCGCATCCCCGATTTGAAACTTACGTCTTTTGACACGGTCGCATTCTGAACCACGGCCGAAATGTCTCCCGTTCCATCTCGATCCGACCTATCGTTCTAGTTTTACGATAAAAACCGTAAAACTTCGTTTTCTCGACAAAGAACTCGAGGAAATCGTATAAAACGGCAACGGTTGCCTAAACTATAAGATTTATTCGAGATTTCTCGTTAAAATCGTAAAAACGCGTTTTTAATAAAAACGTCGACTAAATCGTAAAAAACCCGTTTTTAATAAAAACGTCGAGTAAATCGTAAAACCTTACGATTAGCTTGAGGAATTTACTAAAAACGGCATCGGATCAGGAAACGATCCCGTACAAAGTCGGAAAACAGATTTATCGCAGAACGGCCCGGAAAGTCATAAAACGCGATAAAAGCCACTCGCGACTTTAAACGAAGTCCAACCCGAAGATACGACGACGTTTTGGCGATTTACTCGCAAAAAGAAGATAAATGTCAAACTTGAAGATAAATGTCAAGTTTGAGGAAAAATAGAAGATTTCCGCGGGAAAAAAGGAAAGATCGAGATAAATGGAAGATTCTCATTAAACTCGAATCTGGGCGAAATGGAAAGACTAAACCGCCTAGGAAGGGAGTATATAAGCAAGAGGCATAGGGCAGAAGCAAAGGGACGAAATCCAGAGCTCTCATCTGAGACTTTCACAACTTTTCTAGACTTGAATTTTCCGCACTTAGAAACTTAGGTTTTTTCTCGACAAGTTCGGTTTCTATGACTGGCGCTCAATTACTAGACGAACTTGCCCAGGCAGTTCGATCTCTGGTCCAGCTCTACCAACTGAACTACGTTCGACTTGATCCTCGAAACGGGTACGTAGGCAGCCTTTCATAAGGTTCAGTCCGAAATCATTCAAATCCTTTTTCTTATCTTTTTCCGTCTTTCGTGACCGAGCTTCGACTCGACTAGATCTAGGGTTTTATGTTTGTAACTCGCTGATGGCCCCTGCGGCCAAAGCCTTTGTAATTCCTTGTAATGATCGCAACGCTCTTACGCGAGTCGGAAATAAGATCGACTTTCTTTATAAATTTGTTTTATTGCGTTTTTTCATATTTTTCCGCATTTATTTGGTTACTTGTCGTTGGCTTTCGCAAAGATCCGGTTCCTCTGGAAAATTAGGGTTTTCCTAAGTTTCCATATTTAACGAAAATCGACAAGTGTGAATTTCGGTTCCCACAGTTTGGCGCTAGAAGGAGGGGGGGTCGGATTAGTCTTACTCATAGCCGCAAAACGCTTGTGTTGGTGTCAAAAACCGTAATCTCAAAATCAACGGCTACAATAACTTCTGGAATCATTACTTCCCGGAAAAGTCATTTATTAAAACTCGAGAGTCGTTTTATAAAACTCGAAGAATCGTTTTATAAAACTCGAAGAATCGTTTTATAAAACTCGAAGATCGTTTTATAAAACTCGAAGAATCGTTTTATAAATCACGAATATCGTTTTATAAAACTCGAGAATCGTTTTATAAAGCTCGAAGAATCGTTTTATAAAACTCGAGAATCGTTTTATAAAACTCGAAGAATCGTTTTATAAAACTCGAGAATCTTTTATAAAACTCGAGAATCGTTTTATAAAACTCGAGAATCGTTTTATAAAACTCGAAGAATCGTTTTATAAGACTCGAGAATCGTTTTATAAAATTTGAAGAATCGTTTTATAAGACTCGAGAATCGTTTTATAAAACTCGAAGATCGTTTTACAAAACCGCAAAAAAACCGAAAAGCCGTAAAACACAAACTAGTCTCGTCCCGACTAGTTCGCCCACCGGCGAACTAAGCCAGCCGGCTTAGTTCGCTGTTGGGCGAACTAGAGACTTCCCGGATATCCCGCGCCTCGATCTCCCGCATCCCCAATTCAAAACTTACGTCCTTCGACACGGTCGCGTTCCGAACCACGGCCGAAATGTCTCCCATTTCGTCTCGATCCGTCCTATCGTTCGAGTTTTACGATAAAAACCATAAACTTTGTTTTCTCGAAAAGAACTCGAGGAAATCGTATATAACAGCAACGGTTAAACCGAACACCGAACATCGCCTAAACTATACGATTTATCCGAGACTCTTCGTCAAGATTATAAAAAACGCGTTTTTAATAAAAAACGTCGAGAAAATCGTAAAAAGCGGCATCGGATCAGGAAACGGTCTCGTTAAAATCGTAAAACGGTTTTTATCGTAAAACGGCCCGAAAGGTCTAAAACACAATAAAAACCCATCTCGTAACATTAACGATATTAAACCTAAAGATGCGGTAACGTTTTGACGGTTTACTCGCAAATAGAAGACATAAGGCAAGTTTGAAGATAAATAGAAGATTTCCGCGAAAGAAAAGGAAGGATCGACAGAAATGGAAAGTTCCCGAAAAACTCGAATCCGGGCAAAATGGGAAGATTGAATCGCTTGGGAAAGGAGTATATAAGCCAGAGGCACAGGGAAGAGAAGGGGGACGAAAATCAGACCTAAAAAGATGGCTTCTAGCTTAGGAATTGAGGACTTAGCGTTTTGAATAGCAATCTAGATCCTTAGAACGTTTCGACGTCTAAGTTCTTCAATTCTTCTTGTAACAGTTGTCGATTCTTTCTTTAATAAAAGCTTTCATACAAGTTCTTATTTCTCTGTTCTTCATTGTTCATCCATATTCTTTT